GAACTATCTTCTCTATATTACTATTGTACTAGTATTCTGAGTGTGATTCACTTACAGTTGTGGCACAAGTTAACATAATTCTTTTGGTCTTCTTTCTTCTGAAGATCCTCTGTTGCTTTTGTTAAAGTGTACCCAGGCTGATTCAGTTACTTTATAACCACGCTTTATCAGAATAAAATTATCCTTCTTATCTTTTTTATACTGTTAGTTTCACTCTAACATATTAAACATTAAGCAGATGTCAGTCGTTAGGCTTATCACATTTATGGTACTTAACTTCACACAGCTATAGTTTCTTATCTGTCTATTGTTGTGTGTCTGCTGCTTCCCGCTCAACTCACGCTATTTATATCTTTATTACATAGTCATCTGGCCACTTTCTATATTTTCGACACCAATTAGTTGTTAACAAAACCTCCTACAATTGTCTGCTTTTAACTCTTATAATTACAAAACTTAAAAATAATAAAATATTCACTCACAAATATAAATTTATCACTTATATTTAAACCAAACAGACTTTTATATCATGACACAGTTTTTCTCCCATTTTATTTGTGCATAGGACTTTTCTAAACAGAACTTGAATCCAAAACAGTTCTGGACTCTTGGAAGTCTGGAACTATTTCTCATTCTTTGAGTCCTAAATCAAACTTTGTTTCTAGGATTTTAATGGTGGATTCAGCACTTTATGTTTGTTCAGGAATGAAGTGCTGCAGTTGTACAACACATTACTAATTTCACACCATTGTGTTTTTCTTCTTTCACACAATTCAACCTATCAGTGCACGTAGTTTAAACTCAAACAGGACCCAAAGGCAGTTAGTTCAGGTTGTTAATATCATATGATCGTTAATATGCACTCGTTGCTGTGAAAGTAAATAAATATCCATTGGTGCTTCGATTATTCCACTGGTCCGAGGGAAAGCAAAAAAATTGCAGATAACAGAAACAGCAGATAATCGAGGCACTAGTGTATCTCTCTAGTTAGCCCATTGTTTAATCTATATATGTTGGTTACCATAATGTTACATGTACCATACAATGGAGAACATGAGATTAAATTTAAAATCAAATAATGTTAATTGAATGTATGACTTTGCTTTACATGGTTATTACTAGTTTGCCTCTGAAGAAGAAAGGTCCATCTTTCGAAAGCACTCAGGTTATAGGGTATTGTACTTGTGTATTATTTTATAACATGCATGGAAACACACTTTTGATGGACCTAACATAGTCCATACAACAGAATGGACAGATAAATTTCTAAGTATCCAGTGAATATTTATGTTTTGGTACATGATTTTTACATTTAAAGGAATGTTTAAATCGGATAACTGGTTTAAAAATAAATCTTAATTGTCCCATGGATACTGAGATAAAGTGAAGTTTGAGTGACATCATGCAGGCCACCATGGAAATCCACAAGTATTTTGAGTAGCTTTCAATGTATCGTTACAAATGTTTCTCATTTCCGGCGTAATACTACCAAAAACAAGAATGTTAGGTTAGAAATGTTAGAAGTTAGAAATGTAGTGTTTTAAAAAATAAAAAATGTCAAGAGAAACCACACTGTGTTGATAAAGTAAAATAAAAGTGAGGTCAAATACTTAGTACAAAGTTCAGATGTCTCTGCAGATTGTTGCTTTGATGGCACACTACAATAAACTTTCAAAGTATCATTTTGAATTGAAACCATAAAATCAGCTCATGTTCATTCTGAAACCCACAAGATAGCATTTAATAATGCTTACATTTTCTCTCTGAGCACTATCAATACCATTACAACTTATAAAAATGTCTATTATAATAGAGATTAAAATGCCTATAATTACATTATTATTATTATTACAGAAAGCTATGTAAGAGGGTAGTTTTATTATAGCCCAAAACAGAACATTATGCATAAGCGTTTAAAAACTTTTGTTTTTTTCAAACAGTGAATAAAATAACAAGATAAATCTTTTTAAGTTTAAAAGTTATTGGAAGGTACTGAAAGACTGTCACAAACTACATAATTCTGGTCAAAAATTCACAAACTGTACAACTTGGGCGACCTGGGTAAAGTCTGGCAGATAAACATTTATTCAAAACATTTTGCTTTTTGAAACATTCATAGCAAAATTACTTGCATAGAACTGTCTACTGAATTTAAGTAATATCTTAAAAAGTTCTGATAATTATCAAGAGGCCAGTAACATTTAATAGCAGTTAATTTTATAATCCCCTTAGAATACTTAAAAGGTTAATGACATATTTTGGCCAGGAACAAGATAAACTTTATGTAGGTTTATACATATAGTAATAAAAGATGTTTACCTCTGCAATTTCTGTACAGCATACTTGTTTGTGAATTCTGAATCATCTGCAATTCCATCAGTAAAGTCTGAATAGCTTGTAAAATCCTCGATTATCAGTTTATCATCATTTAACCAGTATTTCTGTCCTAAGGTTCTTACATGATCCTTTTTTGTTAACCTGATGATAAAATGCACACGTTAGTATTACAGCATATATAACAAAAGACTGAAAATCTATGATTACCTTCTGATTATTCCACACACTGAAAATAACTTTTTGTATTAAACTTTCTTACAATTTGATTGAAATAATGTTATATAAATTGTACTATCTAATACATTTCTGGATTTGTTTTCTATTATCTAGACTGAGTAGTATTGTGTTTTAGTTACAAACGTTTGAGAAAAACATTTTACATATCATAAAAATTTTCTAGGAAATAGTTCCATTTTGAGATGTAAAAAATAAATTAAAATGTACAGTAAATCATAAAACCACAAAGTAAGCCTTATAGTCATAAATTTAAACATTATTTTAATTGAGGAGTGCAAACCCTAACAAGTGTACAAAACTAATTATAGTACAATACGAATGAACACCAAATATGATCATTTTATACAGAAATATATAAGTAACCTCTTAGCCACTGACAGGAAACATATCCTGCCACACAAATCAAAAGCTGAAAGATTTTTCCCACACCAAACATATTCTAAGCAGAAATTTATGGTGATGATAGTATTTTTTTTATTATGTGATACACTTTGTTCAATCAAATACCTTTTGTACTAATTGTTATGCTACACATTAGGCTACCTACTGAGATATAACACTAAAAGGTGTCTTTAATGGTATTCCCTCTGTAATGTTTGCTTGATTTTCAAATGACTTCATTTGTTATGTTCATTATGGCTTCAAAATGAATATTTAGAATCAGACACTTATAGTTCCTTGTGGTAAAAGTAAATTCATTCCATTTTCAGTTCACCTTACCATGGAGTTGAGAAGAAAGTGATATTCTTAAGGTAGCAGTATTTATTCGATTTATATTTTGAAATAAAAATGTTAACTTCTAATACAACATCTTATATTTACAGTAACAGTTTGTTAGGATACCAACACATGTATGAGGTGAAATCAGAAGAAATGCACCTGTCATTACTGGGAAAGAAGAAGAACCAAGGAACACATTACAAAATGAAATTGGTGTCAGCTAACTACCATTTAACATAATGAGAGTGCAGTCCACATTTCTGATTAACATAAAAAAGTTAGGCAATGAGAGTTCAGTAGGTTGAACTTCTATCAAACTCTTTCTACCTTAACGATGGCTCCCACATCAACACACTGAGTGGGATAAAACCTAAAGGTAGAATTACTTACCAAAATCCACACTACTTTACAAAAGCAACCCCCGCTCAGAAATACTACATTAAAGTACCATGTGATATTTTCAGTACGAGATGATTTCCTGCATGAACAGTCTGATTCAATTTAAAAAGTAGCACAGTAGGTCCACTTGAGTTCACCTGTCTACCAAGAGGGTGTACATCATCCTGAACAAAGTAATAGGAAGAAAAAGAGGTACCTCATATGCAATTATAGGAGACTATTACAACTACTGCATTAGGCAATGATCTGTTGAGACTAACCCTAATTCTTCTCAACTGAATGGGTTTCAATAAAAAACAAAATAGAGCATGAAGATGTCTAACAGCATTGTGTGTATTAAACACCATTGCCAATAATGCTGGGGAAAAAAAGAGAGGTTCGTTATAGCAAAGGTGAAGTCAGGCAATTATCAAAATTGGCGGTGGTTGAAAACATAAGCAGTAGAGATGTTGAAAAATGTGAAAATAAGTTGAAGAAAAATGTATGCAACATTCCCAGATTAAAAAAGATACTCGAACAGAATTTGGATAGCTGAAACCAATAAAGCTGCTAAAAGACATCTGGTGAGAAGAAACTGGAATATTTGGCAAAGATCATCTTACAAAGAGCACAGTAATTTTTGACAAGATACTGGAACCTGTGTCAGTGATGCAATGAAAGTCTAAAGTATCACTTAATGAAATGCTGTTATAATATCTTATCTCTATAATAATCATAGATAGAATACCAACATAACTGAAAGTAGGACTATAAAACAACCAGAAGTGCATCTATGACTAACAGGAAAGGAGATTATCCATGGGCATGAAATAGATTGCAAAATTAAATGATGTCATAGTAATCAAAATACAATACGTACAGAGTATGGTTTCACATTTCTGATCAGCATGAAGTACAGTAAGCCAGTTGCACAATATAAGAAGTAAAAATCTTAGAATAGATAGCACATCCAAGCAGCAAGACATAAAAAACAAGTAGATTAAATCTTTGAGTTAGCAGGCAATATATGTATAGGTATATTTACTCTCATTCAGATATTTCTCTGGCTTTAGTTAGGCAGATAACTTTACAGTTTACCACAGAGAAAGACCCGTCATATATATCATTCCAAGAAGAATTCTACACAAAACAAAAATCATACATCTTGTATTTTACAATTGCAAATTCTGCAGTACACCAGATATTGGTTGCAGATGTATGTTACTTTAAGAGATATGTTTGTTTCTTGTTTAAAATGTGTTGCATTGTGTATTGGACACCGAGCGCATTTGTTAAGGAATTTTATTTTTCAATGAATGTTTAATTAAACTTGACATCATAAGGTGGTATACTACATGTACTTCTTGTTGTACTGCTGTTACCATCTTTCAGTACCAGAAGAACCTCCTAGCTTTACCACTTTTAAAAAGTGGACTTTCATTCCTTGGGATTAAATGGTGAATGACCATTGTATGTAAGCATACCAATCAGTATGTGGTCATTATATCGAAAGTGAGACTTCACATGTTTCTAAAAGCACACACACACACACACAAACAATGCTTTTTTACAACTTAGATCATATGTGTGTGTGTGATGTATACAGTGATTGTAAACAAAGAGTAGTTTTAAAATAAAAATGGCTCAAAAGATACTGCATGTGTTTTTTTGTCCAAACAGCAATTTACAGAAGAGTACAACATAAATTAAACATTGCATTTAATACCTGTAATAGGCTATAAATTACTTTTGCTCCACTGTGTAAAATACATTACAGGCACAATTAATACAAATACATTTCATTTAAGTTGTTACTTTCAATTTCTTTATTGTAATTTAATTAGTATATGTTTTAAAATGTTCATATTCCTGTAACATGTAACTAATAATAAAAGAAAGTTGTGAAAATATATTTAAAAGTACAGTGTGTATGATAGATTCCTTACTATGATTGCAACTATACACTGGGTATTTTTATTTGTTATAAAATTTTACAATAACAATGTAAACAAATGTTTTTGTAAATACTAATCCAGCTTTAACTTGTTTTCCTGTATAAAACAGTTTCAGTTGTAAAGAAAACACCATTAAATATATTCTTAAATATTCTTATAATGGATTTTCTTGGAATCTGAATAGTTACAAAAATTGCAAGTATGTTTTTTTGGTTTAACTTTAAGTGTTAAATATTGAATCTAAGAAATTGGTGACTTGTTAGTTAGAATCTAAAACTATTTTACTACTTATTAAATATTTGTATTTAATAAAAAGCAAAATATATTAATATCCAAAACTTGTTTTTAAACACCTGGGACTTACAAGTGAGATCACGTATATATATTGTGTGCAAAAATGCTTTGTACCAATCATTCTTGATGCATATTAATGCCTACCCATGGGCAATATACTTCCAAGGTGTTTAATGCATGCTGATAAGCTGAACTGTCCTTGCCACACCAATCACCATAGACAACACATATAATCAGTACTCGGACAATCAATGATGGCTATATCTTGTGTCATTGCTTTCTGAAAACTGCGGTAATTATATATATATGTGTGCTAGTAATGGATGAGAATCAAATATTTTTATATTGAATAAAACACTATTCTTTTAATTCTCCCAAGGCTGGTTTACTGATAGTAGATGCAGTAACATGGAAAATATGCCACTGATCAGTGGTTTGTAATTCCCAGATGGTGATATGCCTTGTACTTAATGGCATTCCAAAACAAAAAAAATATGGATCAGCTTGGAGAACCAGGACAATCTAAAAATAAATCTGCAACAAGTCATACAACAGTTGTGGTGAGCAAAGTGTAGTGTCCTATAACACCAACACAAAGGTCAGTGGGAAAAACAATCCACATGCCCCAATCAACAATATGCAACAAATCAAGAATGATCTTCTTGTGGAAGTGATATACATCACATGTACACAAGTTGCTTCCATAAAATATCCAAGAAAGGAAGACCACCCATAGATAAACTGTATGAATGGTGCATAGCCTAATGAAAATGGCAACACATAGTGACACTCAACAAAGTGTATGTGTAACTTAATAACTATTACTAGTCTTGTGCAATTTTTCACCAGAAAATGGGTGAAAAAGTTTTACCAAACGTAGTACAGGGCATGTCACAAAACTTTTCAAAAAGATTCATGATCATCACTGTATACTACACCAGGGGTGAGTTAGAGATCAGGAAAGTGGTTAAAAAGTCAAGGTGAACTTTGCTTAGTATCAAAACCAATATTCTGGACCCTTTGTACCACATATAAATAACAGCTTTGTATGAAAACAAGACCAACAAGGAATGGGTTCCCCAAGCATCTTGACAATAACTGTGAAACATAGTTGGTATTACGAAAGGCTCTGTTGTAAATCTGTGATGTCCAAAGCATGTCATTCCTCCATGCCTGCTTTTCGTATTCATTCTAATGTCTGAAAACAACAGTTTATCAGCACCCATTTCAACAGACCAATTGCACAGAAATCCATAGGTGATGTGTCAGGTGATTTGACTAGCATGTCTTTGTATGAAATAGCATGAATATCCATTTCATTCTCCAACTGTTTGAAGTATAAGGTGGTTGAATGGAGAGGTTTGACTGGAATAAATATCATAGTTGCCACATAGAGCATGACAGAACACAAAACATGGACATTAATGACATGGTGAGACTCCAAAATTGCTTAAGCATAACATACTCAGTCCCCTGCCTTTGTTTGGTTAGAATTCAGAACACAAAAACTTAAGTTCTACAAAACTGGCTATAAAACTAAAGTGATTCTTGGAGGAAATAATAACAACTGATTATCATTCAAAAAATAGATAGCCAAAACAACTGTACAAAACAAATGTTAATCGAAATATTATTAATACAATGAACAATTTAAATAAATTTGCAAGTAAAACTATTTTTTGTATTGTAAGCTGTTTATATTACATTATTTTGCAGTTATTGTTTGTTTTTAGAAGTTATCATCCCTAACAGATACCATTAAACTTCAAGAGTCAAAAATTTGTATAGAATATAAGAGGTACTTACTGTTCAGGATTTTCTATTTCTCCTTTTAAATCTTTCAAGACACTTTCAATTAATTCCTGATTTTCACAACTCAAAGTGAACTGCTGCAAATGAACTTTTCTTGTTTGATGACTGGTAGATGTAGAATGTTGTCCTCTATAAAAGCAAGTAACATCCTAAAATCAGGAGAAGCTTACAAAGTATTTCAAGTATCTTTTCAAGTTTTTGTATTGTAGAGGAAGAACAAATAAGAAGCCTAATGTGTCTGAAATTATTTTAATTTTAAAAGTTTTAATATTTCAAATCTTTTTGATACCTTTAGTTGCAATTCAATGGTAAAACATTTGACAGTCTAATTTCCCAAAATACTTTTCACACAATTGTGGCTATTCACTATTTCTATGCGTGTTACTTTTACCATATGATAAATGACCAATAGTTACAGATGTATGTTTTGTTCTTTTCATCTAGTTATATTTCTCATTTACATGATGGTTATAAACCCTAAAAACACAGACAGCTAACTCTAGTTGAAATAAAGCTATTAAATGCTATGAACACTAAAAACCTTCCATTTATAACATTTCACAATCTCACATTCTGTTCACACACATTACTCTCACAGAAAACAGCAAATTTTAAAAGTTTTCACATATTACATAAAATATAAGATTATGAATAAAACAGTACTGCCAAGTTGTTTCTTTTAATGAAGTTAGAAATTATAGTATTTTGTCAAATGTATTAGATTATGCAAGCATTATATTCGACCAAAAAAGATTTGTACAGTATATTCAAAGTGCATGTATTAACACCTTTCTAACAAATAGTGTATGTTAAGTACTCCCAAATATTTACACAAACTTTAAATAATTATATTGCGGTATGTTAATTAAAGTTATACAATGTACTACTTTTCATACTCTAGCTTAGAAACATCAAGTGTGAAAATATTTAACCCAGTTACATGTAAAAGTAAAATAAAATTCAATGAGATATTTACCTATAATATCTATAAGCACTAGCTATATATCTTCAGAGTTTGAAAATTATATTGCCCAACATGTCCAGGGCATACAAAAAATAGTTACATGCCCTAGACTGGCACATAAAACTAAAGCAAGCAATTATTATAGCAGATTAAAACTAATGTATTTGAACCCACAGCAATTTTAGGTTAAAGCAAGCTGATATGAAGCCTACGGAAGGTGAGGCATGCCAGCACCCTCACTTAACTGAGATATAAAACACTCAGCATGAACCCCCAATATTGAGAGAAGATGGAAACATAAGATACTAAGAGGAAGGAGTATCATGTAACAAAGAATGAAGAAGATCATAGGAAATCAGGGAGAGGGATACAACAGAACATAATTGGGAAATTATGTCCAAAAAAGCTGTATTATTAGGCATAACAGAACCCACAGTAGGAACTTGGGAAGACAAGGCAAATTGAGGAAAAAGGCTGTCAAATGCTTCATTGTCCAGAACAGGTTTGGCTCGTTCGGGAGGAAGTTGGGCAACATCAGGAGGAGAAAGGTGGCTCAAATAATGATCAATCTCTCGACAAATAATTGCCAATAATTCCAAAGTTGAGTTCCCACCACCTGAGTAAATCTGCTGGTAGAAGGTACAACCTCCGACATGGTAACTTCTACTTCAGAATTCATAATGCAAATGAAACCAAACATAACTGTGCAGTGTAGGTAAAGAAAGAAGAGCACAGAAAAATGGCTAAGTAAAAAATTAAATAATACCACAATTGAATGAGGTACAAATTAAAACTAGGTAAAATAAGTAAGAAACTAGAAAACTAACGGATACGAAAATTCAAAATTCAAAGAGAGCACTAAATAAAACATCCGAACATGAGCACTACCAAATGAGAAGTGATAAGTTAGGTAGAATAGCATAGAGGGAGTCACATGAGTTACGTGTGGAGAGCGTGTCTGCTGGTGGAGGTCTGTCACATGATAATTTCCACGTGAACCAAGGGGTATGTGACAGTGAAAGGCTTGTGGCATGTGAAAAAGTTTTGCAAATACGGGCAGCACTGAATGAGAATAATTATGTGTGTGAGAGAAAGTAAGGTAACTTGTCAGAAATCTCTCTTCTTTCATGAAAAAATATTAAAAATTTGGTTAAGCAGCTAACTTTTAAAAATTTAACAAGCATGTAGAAATTAAACAGTGTTGTTAACACAAATACTATAATATTTGAATAGGTTTTTAAACTTTTTAAGATGAAGTTATAATTATAAATATTTTACAAAATAAGCTGTTATTATAATTTTTATGTTGTTTGAGTTTAAATTCAAGTTACTTGAATAACATCTAAAATACTAGGTTTTAACTCTGCTATGTATGCATTGCTTAAATAAAATGATTTGATTTTTCGTTATTTGTTTCCATTGTTGGTCACAATGCATTTTAGCAGCTGGTTAATTACAGATATAATATTTATAGCTCAAGCATTGTTGTAAGCACACTCACAATATGACTGCTAGGTGAATGAATAATTCATTTTTTATAAACCAACAATGCATGAGCTTAAATATAGTTTTAGAGACCATGATAACTAGAGTAGTAGTGTTCCTGTTATCTAACAGAAATAAGACACTCTTTCAATTCTTTCATTGATGTGTTTATAAATTTATGCCAAGTATTTAAAGATTTGAAATAGTGTTGTAATGTCTTCTATCCTTGGACAGGTTTTCTTGGATTATTCAGTTAAAATAAAGCAAAGTCTGGTCCACTTAAAAATAATACATTTATTTATTCAAACAAGTTCTATACAGGCTACACGTTACATTTACTGGCAGTCCTAATTTCACAAACAACGTTTCAACAGAAATTCTGTAACTAATGTAAGTCACACTCACAAATAATACTCACGTCACTTACTGACAAAATTTCCTCACTTACCGATCCACAACAAACATGCCAACTGAATCACTCAATAACTAACTCGATGACTGAATCAAAGATTAATTCACACTATCCAACAAAAACTTGTAAACTGACACCGAACTGATTAATTAATTCTAACTACTCACTCACTCTATCATTATTATATTGTACTAGTTTTCTACACACTATATGAAGCTGCAAGATGTGTCATTATAAACTCCTTCTAGCAAATAAGTTAAATTAAAATACAGCTTACAACAATAGAATGAAAATATAATCCATCAACATTGACTGGCATACCACTTAGAAACTGTGTAAGTGGTAGGAGTTAAAGCTGCATTTCAACTGGAAGACATTTCTTATAGGGACACCATAAAAAAATGTATAAAATACTATAACAGTATTCTTAAAACACATTTCTCTTGTTATAATAAGACATGCAGTTCACAAGTCAATAGAATAACCATAAGCAGCAAACTGGGCAGTTTAAAGCAGGGTGAAGTTTTTCTTTTTCAGTTTCACACTTCAGGCAGGTAAAACACACATACACACACACACACACATACATAAACACATGCCTGACCAGGCATGTTATGATTTTGAGAATTCTGCCCCTGATCTTGCTAAAGCCAGCAACTAAACTTTAATCCCTCGCCTCATTTTCTCCTCCCTTAATTATTTTCCACCTTTTTCCATCCTTAATCTTTTGCAAGTTGAAAATGATCGAAAATAATTAATGAAGAAGGAAGTTGGGAGATGAATAAAAAAAGACTTAAGTTTTGGAATGAACAACTACAATTATTACTGTTTTTTTTTCATAGATGTAAAATTCATATATTTATCTCATGTCAGATAAAACCGAGGTATTAACTTACTTGTGAGCTATTACATTCAGCAGTTAAGATACCTGCATAAAACACACATTGTTTTTCAGTAAAAACTAAGTTGCACAAGAAACCACTTTTCATGGCCAAACTTTAAGTACATATCTAGGAAACATAATAATGTTTCTCTACTTAAATTTTCATAACTAGGTGTGTGCTATAAAAGTTACTTATGAAATTTGTAGTTGTATAAAAAAAATTAAAATTTTGCTTTAGTTACCTCTTTCATGAAAGTTAACTTATTTATTTAAAACAATAATATTGTTCCATAGGCAGACAATTATACAATCACAAACTAAATAAATACGTTTTTAATGCTTATTTTACCATATTCACTCATATCTCAGGATTAAGGCATTACTTGAAGTTATTGTTGTACCTTATAGAACAGTTCTTTGAGAAACTTGTTAGGAAAGAGTTTTTTTTAATAGATGAGTATCTCATATAGAATTCATTCTCTCTGTACCCATTTCTGTAGTGTGGGTGATCTGTAAGTATTTTTCTCTTGTTATTGCACTCATAACCAATTTCCTCAAAGGAAGAAACAAGAAAAAGCATACCAATAAGAATTTAAATCACCCCAAAATGTATGTGGTTTTATTTTGTATAAAATTTGAGGTTGAAAAAAAATAACTGTTCAGTAGATGCTATACAGATAAAACATTTAAGATGCATACTTAAGGTTTATGTTCTGAAATTTTAAAAAGGGGTATTGCTGCTATAGTACAGAAAATAATTAAAATAATCTAAAGGCCTCTTACTTTTCTGTATTGAAATCTACTCCATCAGATACACTGAAATCTGCTCCATCATTAAGATAAGTAGTTTTTCTACTGAAGCCACCCCTTCTGGACTGTGAAACTTGAGGAACCTTTCCTCCTCCTCTACCCACTCTATTGCCACCAGAAGTTAACTTTCTTCTCCTGTTTTCTACCTGAACTTCACTCATTAGGCCAAAATCTAGAATAAAATATGAATAACAAGTTTGATATTCTCACTATACTAAATTAATTTATATAATACTTTTAAAAAATTTAATTCTATACCTGGTAACAAAACTAACCAAAATGTAATCATAAAGCACAATATACTTGTAGTAAAAACGTTTTCAGTTTAAACACAGAACTGAAAGGTTATTAACCAGATGTGTACACAAGGTCCAAAAGCATAAACTATTAGGGCACTTTAACCCCCCATGCTGTCAACTAATCATGTAACTCAAACATATTCATTGCATAGCATGCATCATTTACCTGTAATTTCCATTCTAACACTTTCCACATGATTTATTGTACTATTGTCAAGGGATCTTAAATAAGTTCTGCTTTTCTTCCATAAAATTAAATTTTCAGTCATGATGAAAATTTAGTTGTGGAAAGGTAAGATATTTTAAAGGTAAGTACTTGCTCAAAATTCATTTTAATTCTAATAATGCAAATTTCAAATCAGGTAAACTTACCTCTGAAATATTGAAAGCTAGAATACCCACACTGTAAAGTAGGAGTGACCCGATGAACATGAAAAAAAAACAATAATATAAAACTACAAGCTACAGGGCAGGAAGAAAATAATCTAGACTACAAGGAATATGTAGCCACACAAAGTCAGAATAGAATCCAGAATCATGAAATTATTTGCAGAACTGGATTTGAGGAAGAATGAGTGGAGTGAACCAGAAATATATGTAAAAAACTGGACCTCAAGGACATCCAGAAATATAGCATTCTATCATGGAAGGGCACCTCTTCATCCATGATTCCCTTTAATTCAGTAAATGGGGTTAGTTTTATGAGCAATAATGGTGTATTGAACTCATTGGCTCAACAATGAGACATAGGTGTCATCATGAACACAAAGGAGGAACACTATGTCCTGCTCCTACAGTGAAAGGTTCTTGGAAGAGCAGTCCAGACATGTACTATAAAAGGTCATAATCCAGAAGCAGTAGAAACCTCTTCATCCATGTCAAAAGTAGTCAGTGAGTCACACAATCAGCCAAATTAGTGGGTGCTCAGGAAAACCAAAGAAAGAGCCAAGCTGTCCCCAAAGGCCAACTCAATAACATGAGGACAGTACAGTTGGAACACAAGAACATCAATAAATAATAAAACATAGATGATCCCCATCCTGGTTGTAGTTGGGATGTGTAATGATAACAATAGTCCCATTTCCAATATATCTAATGCTATGCAAGGATATGCATGCAGAAGATGGAAAGGTACCTGCCAAGGCATCATCAGTCACCAGATGGCACCCTCTGTCCAGTTCCAAAAAGCAACACCGTCTTTTGGAGCTCCAGCCTAAAAAATAGAATTTTGTCTAGGACAAATGCAGTGGTATATGTGACATACAAGAGTCCCAATTGGACAAATCCATACATGAAGTCACGCAGATCATAATTATTATTTTTATTTTTTATATAAATAATATCTCAACCTCAGTCAACCCTACATTTGTAAACAGGGTTTTGTACAACATAGAAACACTTGAGATGCCTAGAACAAATGCAGAGGTTATAGAATATGTGACAGTCCCGATGAGATGAGTCAATATAAAGAGAAATTATTTTTATAAAAAACATACTGTATGCAGTGTTTCACCTTTCTTGTTTTGTAGTGTTTGTTTTCAAGTCAAAATTATTTATTCATTTTGATTAGTCCTGATGCTAGGTATTAAAAACTAAAAATTTTAAAAAACAAAGTTATGCAGTCTTGACTTTAGTTTACTCGAAAATATTCTTTTGCCAAAAGATGATAGTTATATCTTTCTCAAATATTATATTATTATTAATTAATTAATTTCTATATACAATAAACAAAATTGTTTCTACACACCAACTACTCAAGAAAACACAATAGGGAATCTTCAATAGCTGCAGTACTTGAATTTCTTTTAGGCAGGATTAGAGTAAATTAATCTACAAGACATATTTTTTCTTTCTATTAGCTATTTTTTGTGCGTCATCAATAACAAGCATGGGATGCATATATATTCAATTTAATTTTATTACTCATCAGGATCTCTACCAGCCTACCCTCAAATTGAAATTCTTTAAGCAGTATTAGAGTAAATTAATCTAAGAGATCCTCGGCATGGTCAAATACATTAATCAAAAGGATTTGACTTCCCGAGTCCAAAACTGTAATTAGATCTAAAATTAGTAGAGAGATGGAGCTATGAACTAAAAATTTGTTCTTGAAAAAACAAATTCAGAGCCATTCTATGAGCCACTATGCTGCATCTAAAAATATTAAATCCACTTTTATTGTACGAAATAATGAATTTCCATCTCAACACCTAATGTTCTAAAGTTTACTTTTAGTAGGGTGCTGGCCTCCACTACTGTTGACAGCAACTCATTCAATGAGTTAATCACTTTGTTGTAAAACTATCTTGTAATTTAATTTTAACCAAGTTTATCTTTAAGTTTAAGTTTAAACTTGTGCCCTCTTGTTCAGTTGTAAAACTTGGAGTAAATCCTCAAGTTGAACTTGAAGTGATGAACTGCTGACACTGTACAAGTTATCACTATCACAGTATCAGTACATCTACTCTACTACTCGTAGTATGATCTACGATACATGCCTAAGTATCATAATACTAATAGTAATACCAATAATACTAGTATTAGTATTAGAAATAATCCGAATAGTACGATCAAAAACTTAGTTTAAAAGCTTACATTATAATACTTTCGAAGTTTTAAAGCTATCAATTCAATCAGCCTTGTTTCTCCAGAAGCAAAAAAAACTGTTTAAAACGTTTAACCAATTCAGTTTTCCAAATTGCAAAAATTTCTCCACATTCTCCAACTAACAAACCCAACATTTGAAACAGTATACATCATACGAAAATACCAAAACCAGCTCGTCACGTGTCACTAAAACAATCGCCGTCTAGTGTAAGAAGAGGAAAAATGAACTTTCTTGGCAAAAATATAGCGTAAATTTTATTTGCAGAAAAAAGACCAAAACATCCTAGGCAATTCTTTATTACGAAAGATTTTGTAAGTTTTGGGTAATTTCGATAAGAAAAATAACTTAGGGACAAATGGGCATTTCCTGCGTGATATTTTCAAACTGCTTTGCTTTTTCTCAGAGTAGCCTGTAGGAACCGAAAAATAAAAGGAGGATCCATCGGATACTAGATTACAGAGTTCTATCGTATTTTCTCTGCCTTTTTGTCTTTACACACACACAAAAACGGGATGAAGCACAGGTTTACCAACAGTCATAATCTGTATTAAACAACATAATGAAAGTTAAAATCAACACTCAGGCAATTGTTTAAGTGTTCGAATGGCATGGGCGGTGCGTATAAGAGGCTTGGGGAGGCTTAGCCTACTCAAATAAACTCACCTCACAGGATATTATTTTCACCAATTCAAAAATTTTATACAGTAAACATGGAGAGAGATGTTACGCCTCCAGTCGTTAGTTAATTTTCCGTAAATTTGTTCCGACGAAACTTTAGCGACACAAGTT